AGTGAGAGTTATAATACCTGTAATGGAACATCTTGGTGGAAAGGGCATGGAGAGAGATTTAGCTCTCCTAACAAGCATGAGAGCTCGCAAGATGAGAACAGTGGCGAATTGGCAGTCTCTACACCTGTGGTGGTGAGAAGCACGAGATCAGCCTTATATTAGGCTGGAGGAGCAGGCAGTCGGGGAACGTGCACTTTCTATCACCGACTTGGTTACTCTGACTCTGTCTTCTCTCCTGCCTACAGAATGCCAGCATGGCATCTCTCTGCTGAAGATTCCTAAGCTCTGCTAAAGACCAAGATCTATCTATGCTAAGAAGACTGCTTTACTCTAAGACACACACACACTCTCTCCAGCTAAGGTAGATAGCCCTCAGCCACCTAAGAGAAATTGTTCCTGAGCAAGGTAGCTTAGCAGTCCACGTCCAGAACCCACCTAAGCTGGGCCCAATACCTGGCCAGTCCCGAGCCCTGACACACACATGTGAAGACGTTTCAGGCTTCTCGAGTGTGCAAATTCTTTTGTACCCCTTTGTTTCCCTCCCTTTTTCTATGTTTAGATAATGTGCTATCTCCTTTGGTTAAATGGCCCAGTGGTGTCATAAAGAAAAAGAAATAATTGCTTTTCTACAGCAACTCCTCTGCTTTTCTATCCAAATAACTCCAGACGTATCCAGACTTATTTTCTTTCTTTCTTTTTTTATTAAATGATAGCTGTGTACATTAATGCAATCACGGGGTACAGTGTGGTGTTTTCATATATAATTTGAAATATTTTCATCAAACTGATTAACATAGCCTTCGTGTCATTTTCTTAGTTATTGTGTTAAGACTTCTATATTCTACTTTTAGAAAGATTCACTTGTACCCTTGTAAGATAAACCATAGAGGTGATCCCTCGAATCACCCTCCTTCCACCCATCCACCAGACTTATTTTCATAATAATTCCTTTACTTAAGTATTAGAACCAGCAATAATAATAATCACTTTGGAAGTCCATAGGTCCCTGAAGGAAGGCATTCTTGCTGAAAACATTTCCTAGGTGCTGTGCTTTTCCTTTAAGATCCCCTCCGTGTCACCAGTACCCTCAGGTTCTGCATCTTTGGATTCAGCTAAATGGATGTGGAAGGCTCAGGGCCAAATAAGGGACTGGAATATCCTTGGATTTTGGTACCTGCAGGGGTCCTGGAACCAATCCCTCTCAGACATAGAGGGCCAACTGTATATAAGCCTTAGAATCTTACCAGTTTTTGTGCCACTGGTTTGACATTTACTGATAAGTGTCTTTCTTCTTTTTTGGGGGGGCGGGGAGGGAGTAAGGAATATCAATACATCAGTAAGTATTATTTGTACCTATAGTATGGGCAATAACTGATGTTTTGTTTGTCATGTTCATGGAGTAGTTTAAAATAGAGGGTTTGAGAGTATCCCTCCATGAGAGAATGGAGACAGTGTAGTATACATGACAGAATAGTACATGCAACACTATGATGAATCTTGCAGGTACGATGTTGATTGAAAGAAGGACTACCGTAAGGTTCCAGTTATTTCAACTGGCTGATCTGACCTATGATGCTAGGAATCAAAATGGAGAGGTTACCACTGTGGGAAGTGGTTTAGGAAGAAGGGACTTCCGGGTGCTACTGATGTTCTGTTCTTTGACCTGGCTGGTTCCATGAATGTGTTCATTTTGTGAAAGTTCTTTGAGTAAACCTCAATGTTGATGAAGTAACATTTTGTGAAAATTCATCTATGAATTATGTACTTTTCTATATGTTCAATGTATTTTAATGAAAATTTATAACATATGGAACATACAGAAAAGTACATAATTTATAGATCATGGTTAGAGCTTAATGTTTAATAAAACCAGAGAAATGACTCACTTTTTTATGACATATATATTCTAGCCTTTTAAAGTGGTACTTTTTCTTTCTTTTTTTTTTCTTTTTTTCTCTCTGTTGCCCTGGCTAGAGTGCAGTGGTATCGTCATAGTGCAACCTCAAACTCCTGGGCTTGAACAATCTTCCTGCCTTAGCCTCCCTAGTAGCTGGGACCACAGATGTGTGCACATCTGGCTAAGTCTTCTATTTTTTGTAGAGGCCGCATCTTGCTCTTGCTGAGGGTGAACTCCTCACCTCGAGAGATCCTCCCACCTCAGCCTTCCAGAGTGCTAGGATTACCGGCATGAGCAACGGTGCTTGGCCTAAGCCCCCACATTCCTTTTATGTACTGCACCCTCTTGAGAGTGATTGAACTTAGCCTGGTTTTTATGGAAATCTTTTCTAAGATTAATTCTTTCTTTCTTTGCTTTGTGGGATTTCTTGGATATTCTTTCATCTTGAAAATTGTGTCTGCCAGAACATGTTTTGACCCAGTGTACCTTAAAAAATGTCAATAGCTGTGCAGCAAGGCTCACACTCCCCTCCATGAGCACTTCCTCTTCATTCTTGCTCTGCTGGTCATCAGGCATTCTGAATCCTCCTCTGGTCTTCAGCAGAGTTTCTCGTTGCTTCGTATATCTGGGCCACTTTATTTCGGGATGGAACAGTGGTTTTCAATGTTCCTAATGCTGTGGCCCTTTAGTACAGTCCTGTGGGTCACGACCCACAGGTTGAGAACTACTGGGATAGAAGATGTATTCATCATAGTTCTTAGTTGTAAATAAGCATCTCTTGCTAATTTAGTAAAAGGATGTGAGTGGCCCACAGGCTCTCTGAGAAGGCTAGGAAAATAGGCTTGAAGACCACACCTCCAGAGCATAGTGCAAAGTCATTCCACAAAACCGTCTCATGAAGACACCTGTTACCTCTTTGGGCACAGACATTGCTGCTGGTGTTGCTGGTGTCTCACATGTGCTGATGCTGGGCTCTGGGCACTGCCCCAGGAATCATGGTTGTTCCTGTGCTGTGTTTCCATCTCCACCAAGAAGATTCTTATGCAGTTCTTGCTTCTCAAAGTGATCCATTTCCTACTGAAATCTAGAATGAGTGCAAATACATCTGCTTGGTGGGGCTATGTCATGTGCCTACGTCCTAGTTTTGAAGAAAGGTGGGAAA